TTTTGTATTCTTTTCCAAAAAGTAGGGATGGATATTTGAGCACTTTATTAAATTATTTAAGAATTCTGTTAATTTTGGATAAGATAACTTGAATTTCTTAAAAGAAAAAAAATAAAGATGGATGATTTACTAAACGTATAAATTATAATAAATTTTATAAATTTTATAAATATCTATGAAAAATACTGTAACCACCATTATAAACTAAGCCAATAAAATTACTAACCATCATGGCTCAATCCCATTGCCGAGATGTTTTTCTTTTAAACAAAAAATATTGGGCATTTTTTCACATAAAAAGAACAATGTTGTAAAATAAACTACAGTAAATAGAGAGATACAAAAAGAAAATGTAAGAAGCGGTCTTTCTTTTCGATTCTTTCTTCTCCATTTTTCCATCCATTATATAAAATTACAAACTTTATCACCCCCTAGAGAGGAATTACATGGCTTAATCCCCTACTAAATGAAAAGTTACATGATAGAACTTAAACATACTATTATAATTGCAGAAGAAAAAAGAAGTGTATCAATATTTACTAACTAAAATATCTTAATTTTGAGTTAAGGGCAAAAGTTTAAATTTTTACTATGTTTGATTATCTAATATATTGAGAACACTAAAAAAGGAGTTAATCATCACTAATTCGTAAATACATGAAAAAATAAAGAGGTGAAATATGAGAAATGTGAAACATCCATGAATGAATATTGTTCATAATAAACATTACATTATTAATATAGATAACAGTGAAAAAAGTTTCCAAGAGCACTCGCTTCCCTCCAAAAGTTAACAGATTTTTCTTCCAAATTTTTTTTTTATTCTTTAATAGTGAGTGTACTTATTTTTATTTAATTAATGTTCTCTCAGTCTTTTGTTCCACCTTACCAATGGAGTGTGTAATTTATAATTAATTACAAACATATATGGTCATACAAGAACAGGTTTGTTTCTTGGCCAAGGAGAAAAGAGAACACCTTTGAAAGACCAACTTTCAGGAGGCACTGCACGTCTGAATTGCACTCAGCCACAAACAGTGTGGCTAGCTGCTGCTGCTGCGTGTCAAACAGTTCCATCAGCCCAAATCAAAACCAGCTCTAGCATTTATGGCGTACAGCAGTTTTGTTTCCAGTTGCGCTTTGCTGCAGCAGAAAACAAGTTATGGAATCAACGATGTTAAAGAAAATAAGTGGAGAAGAAAATGTCAATTGAAGGTTCTATTTAGCACTCCCCAGTGACTGATCAAAATGAAAATGTCAATTGGCATAAATGATTAAAGCAGTTGGAGTTGATCGCACTTTGTTAATTCTAGCACAAACAACAATTAAGTTTCTAACCCAAGAGGAATCTCAAGTCATTGACTGCCGGCTTCTCTTTTCATTTACCCATTTGACAGCTAGCCATTCATTTTTATTAAGCATATGTGAGAGAGGGACAAACCTTCTATAGGGTGGGAGCTTCAGAAGGTTCAAACAAGTGGATGATGTGGGTAATCGGTCCAAAACTTCTTCAGTTGCACTGCCAGCAGCCCTGAAAAGGAGCACCAACGTAATTTTCAATTCCTTGGAAAAAGAAAGCAGCAGAAAACCAAAGTAGACCCAGAAAAAGTA